GAATCTGTGAAGCATCTCATAACATGGATGAAACTGGAGGACATTATGCTGAGTGAAATAAGTCAATCACAAAAGGACAAATATTATATAAGACCACTACTGTAAAAACCCATAAAAAAGCTCACACACAAAAAGTAACAAGCTTTGTTGGTTACGGGGGATGGGAGGCGGGGGGGAATACTAAATAGACAATAGGTAACTGGTAACTTTGGTGCAAGGTAAGACAGTACACAATACTGGGGAAGCCAGCACAACTTGACAAAGGCAAGGTCATGGAAGCTCCAGACACATCCAAACTCCCTGAGGGACTGAAATGCTGGGTAAAGGGCTCTGGGGACTATGGTCTTGGGGACCATCTAGCTCAACTGGCATAACACAGTTTATAAAGAAAATCTTCTACATTCTACCTTGGTGAGTAGCATCTGGGGTCTTAAAAGCCTGTAAGTAGCCATCTAAGATACTCCACTGGTCTCACCCCTTCAGGAGCAAGGAGAATGAAGAAAACAAGATACAAAGGAAAGATTTGCTCAGAGGACTAATGGACCACAACTACCATGGCCTCCATCAGACTGAGTCCAGTACAACTAGATGGTGCCTGGCTACCACCACTGACTGCTCTGACAGGGATCACAGTAGAGGTTCCTGTACAGTAGAGGGTCCTGGACAGAGCTGGAGAAAAAATGTAGCACAAAATTCTAACTCACAAAAAAAGACCAGACTTATTGGCCTGACAGAGACTGGAGAAACCCCAAGAGTATGGCCCCCAGACACCCTTTTAGCTCAGTGGTGAAATCACTCCCGATGTTCACCATTCAGCCAAAGATTAGACAGCCCCATTAAACAAAACGGGACTAATGGGGCTTAACAGTCCAGGGACTAGGACTAGAAGGCAGGAGGGGACAGGAAAGCTGGTAATAGGGAACCCAAGGTTGAGAAGGGACAGTGTTGACATGCCGTGGGGTTGTTAATCATCGTCATAAAACAATATGTGTACTAACTGTTTAATGAGAAACTATTTATTCTGTAAACCTTCATCTAAAGTATAATAAAAAATAAAATATGAGAGAACAAAAAAAATTATACTGTAAGTTTTTAAAGTGACATCTTACAGTTTTTTACTCTAAAATGAGTCCAGAAACAGTATTTTTATATTTTAAGATATGTTTTCTTCTGTTCATCTCTTCCAAACACTTGATTCTTATTATTAAGCAAAAAAAAATTAAGTCAAACAAAAATATGAAGTAAAACTAGATGCATCTATGTGTGTATGTACACACACACACATACCCCTCTAATATGTATTATACAATTTGAGGAAGTTGTATAGAACCATCAGGAAAAAGTTGAAAAGTAAACAGGAAGAGCTATACACTGTAATGAGGGTAACAAGGTATACAAACGCAGGCAAATTTCCAAGATCAACTATCTGAACAATTCATTCAGAATCACATTATTGTCAGAAAAATATACTGTAATCCTTTTGGTAATTACCCTAGGAGGTAGATCCACAAGTCCTTGAAAGTCTGATATTCTCATCCCTTCTTATCAATGTGGGCAAAAGAATTTCACATTTTCTTTAAACAAAACCAAGTTGCTACTGCAGTTACTACTAAAGATTTCTAAAAGTATATAATATTTGATCATGGGATTTCTGCCACAATTTCAAGAGAGAGTACAAAGGATTCCTATACTATCAACTCTGACTCCTCAAATACAACATAAAATTGAAATTTTATAACAGACCTGTGTTTCTAAAAATGTGTTCCTTGGAACAGTAATCTCACAAGACACTGGGGTGGGAAGATAAAAGTGTTCTGCAATGAGCTGAAATCTGGGAAATGCTGTATTCTGTATCTTTCTCTCAGAGATTCATAATCCTATTAACATAAAAGGTTCTTAGAAGTCTTGCAGTAAGGAGAGCTGTTTAAATTGGTTTAACCAATGTTTCCCAAATTCACTGGGCCATAGAGTCCTTTTTGCATATAATGTCAAGGATTCAGTGTTCCTCGTGACTGCTTATTTTTGAAAATGTACAATAAATTGCTTTTGTTTAGCTATTAAAAGAGTAATTTCATACGCACCTATCCCCAAAAAAGATATTCACTGGCAGAATTTGCTAACATCCCAAAACAAGCTCATTGTATTTCATGTCAGAAAAAAAAAATCTAACATGCCTAGACTAGCATGCATAGTATTTTTAACAAGTTGTAGTTATTTCCAGAATATGTGTTTTGACCCCCCTCACTGCCCATATGTTATTTAAGAAAGTTCAAACTCCCAGTTTCTAATACCTGTGAAAAGCTAAGAATGAATGTGACCCTCCAAGCCACTGCTTTTCCTGTTGGACTTTACTATAAGCTAAGAAAACCCTGTAGCTGTACACTACTGCACACTTTCAAACAGGAGACTACTAAACTCACCAGCATTTTACTAACTGGTGCTATGAGCCTGCACCTATGCAATTCTACAGTAAAATAATGAACATTTCATAACATTGTCTGTAATGTTATTACTTCATTCCCCTAACATCCCTATTAAGTATACAGAACAAAATACTGTAATTACTGCTTCACCTATGGAGGTTAAGCAACTTGCCCCCAAGTACCAACAGTCACCAGGGACCAATTTCTTGTTGGACAGACATTGCATATTACAACTATAGAAACTATATCAGATAATCACCCTAAAATATGAACAAAAACAGGAAATTCCTTTACTAATAGCCTATTATTTCAGGAATTTTCTTCTTTTGAAATAATTTTGGAATACAATTTGCTAGAAATCCAAACTTTAATAAAAGCAAGATCAGATGGCATGCTAGAAAGATTTTTGTGAGTTCAGAAATTAGGAACTAAGTCTTAACAACTGTAATGAGGTGTTCATTACTTTGTCATTGTGTTTGATGAAGCAAAATAAGTAAAGCTACAATGAATTTTGGAAACCCTGGTGGTGTAGTGGTTAAGTGCTACAGCTGCTAACCAAAAGTTCAGCAGTTCAAATCCGCCAGGTGCTCCTTGGAAACTCTATAGGGCAGTTCTACTCTGTCCTATAGGGTCGCTATGAGTTGGAATTGACTAGATGGCAACGGTTACAATGAATTCTGGGTGAAGCGTGAATGTGAATGATTGTGCTGCCAGGCTGTAGCATCCTTTCTTCTGAGATTCTCCCTTCAATTTCAGAAGTACATAAAAAAGTATAACAAAACGTGTAAGATGAAATAGACATCAACTATTTTTAAAAAGCCTAATAGGGAAGACACAATGATTGTTATGGAAAGTAATACATTTTGGTAACCCATGGATATTGGGTCACAGAGTTTTAAGTTATACAAAGTAAGCTGGCCATTGGAAGAATTAAAAAAAAAAACACTTCAAAACATCTATGGCGGAATACATGTACATGTAATCACAGTACTTTATGATAATATATATCAATGACAATGTACTGGAGATAAGGTAAGTGGTCAAAAAAGGAAAAAATCTGGCATTAAAGGAGTCAAGAATGTTAACAATTTGGTAAAGGAAAAGAAGTTAAATTATCAGGTTCAAATTTCATAAACTTTTTTAAATCTAGAAACAGAGGTAACAAAAATTGGTCTTCACCTGGTAAGTGTGTACTCCCTGAGTCCTGAATGCAAATTCATGGCAGAAAAAGTACCTATGCATCCACGCAATCTTTTGTCTCGACCAATCTTCCATGTTACAAACAGTGGGCTGTAATGGAAGATAAAAAATACGGTTAAATCAATTCAAACAAATATTTATTGAGTAATTACTATATGTAAGGTGAGATGCCTGAGATAAAAAGACCAAAAAAACAGACCCTCCTAAAGGATCTCAGAGTCTAGTTCAATTAGGACCACACTTAGCAATAATGATAGCTACGTTTTATTGAGTGTATCCTATATTAGGTACCACAATAAACGTTTTAAGCAAATTATTTATTTTAGTCCCCATCAACAACCCTAGGAGACTGATACTATTACTATCATCCCTATTTTATAGATGAAGTAGCCACAGAGTTAATATATAATGAAGTAGGCATTCCAACCTGGGCAGTCTTGACTAGTGTCTTAACCATCATGTCTACTGCATGATTCTTCATTTAAACCTCAAATTATGGGTTGTTTCAGAAATCTAACTTAGAAAATTAGAGGAAAAATCAACAATTTCAACAAATACTGAATATATAGGGGCAAAACACTGAAAGGTGCTATAGGAGTACAAAGATGCCTAAAACGTAGCCGTTGCTCTCAAGAGCCAGTACAGGAGGCAGGCATGTTCACAGCTAATTATAATACAAGGCAAAAAGAAATAAGTACTATAAGCCATATCCAAAATTCCATAAATTAAGCTACTGGTATAGAAGAAAACTTCATGGAGTTTGATAATCTTCAGCTCAGCCTAGAAAAATGAGCAGGGTTTGGAGAGGGGAAGAGCAATAGAAACATTAAAACCTCTTGCTGTCAAGTCGATTCCGACTCATAGCCACCCTATAGGACAGAGTAGAACTGCCTCCACAGGGTTTCCAAGGCTGTAAATCTTTACAGAAGCAGACTGCCACATCTTTCTCCCATGGAACAGCTGGCGGGTTCAAATCTCCCACCTTGCAGTTAGCAGCCAAATGCTTTAACCACTGCACCACCAGGGCTCAAATAGCAACATTAACAAAGTAACACTCTCAAACTAGAAAATTTTAATTTTTAGATAAAATCATTGCTTAGGAATACAATCTGTCAAGCATCAAAGATAAAAGTATGCCGTTGTTGCTGTTGTTAGGTGCTGTCGAGCTGGTTCTGACTCACAGCAACCCTATGTACAACAGAACGAAACACTGCCCGGTCCTGCACCATCCTCGCAATTGTTGTCATGCTTCAGCCCATTGTTACAGCCACTATGTCAATCCATGTCCTTGAGGGTCTTCCTCTTTTTTGCTGACCCTCTACTTTACCAAGCATAATGTCCTTCTTCAGGGATTGATCCCTCCTGATAACATGTCCAAAGTATGTGAGACACAGCCTTGTCATCTTTGTTTCTAAGGAGCATTCTGGCTATACTTCTTCCAAGACACATTTGTTCCTTCTTCTGGCAGTCCATGGTATATTCAATATTCTTCACCAACACCACGATTCAAAGGCATCAATTCTTCTTCGGTTTTCCTTATTCATTGTCCAGCTTTCGCATGCCTACAAGGCAACTCAAAACATTATGGCTTGGGTCAGATGCACCTTAGTCTTCAAGGTGACATCTTTGATTTTCAACACTTTAAAGGGGTCTTTTGCAGCAGATTTGCCCAATACAATATGTTGTTCGATTTCTTGACTGTTGCTTCCATGGGTGTTGATTGTGGATCTGAGTAAAATGAAATCTTTTACAACTTCAATCTTTTCTCCGTTCATCATAATGTTGCTTATTGGTCCAGTTGTGAGGATTTTTGTTTTCTTTATGTTGAGGTGTAATCCATACTGAAGGCTGTGGTCTTTGATCTTCACCCGTAAGTGCTTCAAGTCCTCTTCACTTTCAGCAAGCAAGGTTGTGTCATCTGCATAATGTAGCTTGTTAAGGAGTCTTCCTCCAATCCTGATGCCCTCTTCTTCTTCATACAGTCCAGCTGCTCGGATTATTTGCTCAGCATACAGACTGAATAGGTGTGGTAAAAGGATAAAACCCTGACGCACACCTTTCCTGACTTTAAACCACACGGTATGCCCTTGTTCTGTTCAAACAACTGCCACTTGGTCTATGTACAGGTTCCTCATGAGCACAATTAAGTGTTCTGGAATTAAAATGGCATCAAGAAGGTAATGCAGTTTTAAACGAAGTTTTATATAGTAGATGTTTGGATTCGGCAAACCACTGACATCCTCAATAAATTATTAAGTCTATGTCAATTTTTATGAAATAAAATAATTTAAACATTTGAGGATATTTTGTAAATAAATACATAGCCTAGAGTTGGGGGTGGTGCATGTTAATATGAGTGTTCACAGCATTACTGGTATAACACATTTCCACTCTCTAAAAATTTAAATTTTAGTGGGACATACCATACCTTATATATTTTTTATAATACACTGGTGAGTTGGAGACCACAGTCTTTCTTTTAAAATATCCTCTAGTCAGTCATTAGCAGTTGGTGAAAATATATCCTGTTCGGGTGCTTCACCCACCTCAAACATATGAATTACACTGAGTTCTGACAGATTGCCACAATGGCAGATACATTCCCAAACGAATAATGAATACAAATTAGGGAGCAATACTAAGAGTTACCTTCTTCCAAGAGCCAAATGCCCAGTGGCATTGAAAGAGATTATTTAAGTACAAGGCCAAGTTAACTGTCAATGTCAGTATTCAACTGCTGGGTGACCTACAGTAAAGGTACTAAAATAAAAAGCAAATGGTGAAGGCAAGGTTTTCTGCTTTCTACATCATATAACTTGAGACAAGATTCTAATGCTCCAGTTGGAGAATTTTCTCTAATTGCTCACCACTAATAGTTGATTAGGAAGAGAAGAATTAGATGGGATTACTTTCTCACCATTTTTTTCATTACTCATACAAATACTAGTGTCCTAAAATCCACACATTATCTTTAAAGATGAATTTCACCTCTTCATTTTTCACTTTCTAATTTGTTCTAGTGAACGTCAGCAACAGTTTTTATGGACAGTAGGATATCAATCATCTCCCATAACAACACCTATAGAAAGTATATCTACGTAAGGCAGGTCCTTTGGCAGGCTTCAAAAGAAAGTGAATCACAGTGTAACACACATAATAACATGTCTTTAAATACCATGATGACTTCTCAACAAAACAAAACTAAGTCATATATTTTCTTCCTGAGTGACTTGAGTGAGAAACCTAAAAATGTGAGTCAATTCATTTCCTATCAAAAACACTTGAAATGAAAGTAATTTAAAAGTACATTATTTTCAATTGTCATACTTATCCCACTAAAATGGGATAAGTAAGATAATCATTCTTAATATAACCTTATCTGCTCGAGCAATCATTCAAATTTTAAAGGGTAAATAGAAAGGGAACACAAACTAAAACACTGTATTAGAAAATAAGTTGCAGGGCATTCAGATACATCCAAAAAAACAAACAAAACCCGTTGCTGTCGAGTCGATTCCAACTCACAGCAACTCTACAGGACAGAGTGGAACTGTCCCATAAGGTTTCCAAGGATCAGCTGGTGGATTCGAACTGCCAGCCTTTTGGTTAGCACCCAAGCTCTTAAGTCGGGGGGGAATTATACAGTTTTTTATAATGCTACACTATCAATGATGAATTCCAGGGGTACAGCGCTAGAGGATAAGCTGCATTTTGCCAGGCGGACTAGGAAGAAAAGGCACTTCATAATAAACAAGGGCATGGAAATGTAAAAGTGTACATTCAGGGAACAGTGAGTAGTCTGATGGTCTCTTCCAGATTTAACATTCTATGAATTTTAAGTACTGTTGAATATGTGTTCTCAAGAACCCCCATAAGAGGTAGAGCAGATGCAGAATCATCTGCACTCTCCCTGTTCCTTACCTGCCCTAGGCAACATTCACTTGTAGGGGGCGCTGGCATTGCGGGGAAGTATCTGTGTCAAAGATGGGAGGGCATGCTACTTGGCAACCCCACTGTGTTTAGGACAGGTGACCAGAGATGGAAAAAATCAGACTTTTAGTAGACAGAATAAAACTATTCCTTAAAAATCTGGGACTTTGTTTTTCCATTTTCAAATGCAAATCCAAAAACTAAAATACTTAAAAAGCAGTGTTTAATGGGAAAAAGAACCTGGGAAGTTAAGCATTTTAAAGTAGACTGGGACAGAATAAAAATCACTGACAGCAAGAGATGCATCTTGTGTGTGATAACTGTTTTGTACAGGGCAATGACTATGGCAACATTCAATACGTATTATCTAAAAACAGCAACAAAATAGCAACATACAGAGCGAAAAACAGTCAATTTCATTTTTAAATGTGTTATTAAAACATGTATGAGCTCCCAAAAGGACACAAGACATCAGCATAATCAGAGACAGATCAAAAAGTAGAAAAAGGCTTTTGAGCCAGTTTAAAGTAGCTACTGCTCAATGACAAGGAAATAAGGAAAACAGTTCATAGTAAGACAAAGATTGAATGTTTTTGGAAAATACTTTTACCATATGGTTTGAGGCCACCTACATACATAAAAAATACTATAAACTGGAAAGGCGCACAAAATGAGATGAAATATTAATGGAAATGTTTATCCGAGGGTAACCAGACATAGTTTTTAAAGGAATTTTCCTACTTCTGAACATTTTGTACCACTGTGTTCTGAGAAATCTTTGGAGGAAAGTAAATTCTCTCCATTTTTCCAAGTCTGTAGACAGGAACAGGAAGTAACCACCTAATCTAGGTGAATCTTCCCTGCCAACTGGCAACCAATACTGTCAGGTCAATAGTGGCTCTCAGGGAAATATAGTTCCCTGGAATCAGCAAAAATAAAGAAATGCAACGTAAATTGCATTGTAAATTGCAATGTAAATTGTGAACAGGATACTCCCCAGTCCTAGTTGCTTGCCATTCCCTTAGCCCCACTTTTGAGACTATTCTATTGATGATTTAGGCCAGAATAGATTTGAAATGTGTTTGTGGGAGAAAGGTACAATTAGAAAAGACAATGAAAAAGGGGCATTAACAATATTTTACCATAAATCCTACCTCCCC